GGTTGTAGCCGCTGCCACAGCTGCTGCCACGGCAGGAAGACTCACTATCACCTCCTCATTTACCGCTTGGGCTAAGCCACCATCAGTAGCTGGGTCGTCTGGGTCAGCCATATTCTACATAGTTACCTGAAAGAAATATAGCCCCCTAAAATAATAATTAACATATAAACTAATGTCTTTTAAAATGCTGATTCTCACAAAATGCATAAACTATAAAATGAAACATGACATGATAATAAAATGGTTAATGATTAATGGTTGAAACTAATAAATGTGCTAGTTTGATAATAAATGATAGTAAACTGTGACATTTCAAATCCACTTGGATTATTCATCAAAAGATAAAACAGACAAAATGCATTTTCTTTTAGGTTGCATTTCATCTGATGCAGAAATAAATGCAAAATGCGGCAATTTATTATTCATTTTTATTGCATCTTTCATTTTGTCTGTGTAAGTGATACTGTCTTTGTTTGTTTGTTTTTTCCAGTTCACAACATAAATCCTAGAAACAGTTTTTTTTCTCTGCTTCATGATTTTGTTCAGTAATCAAGATGAACGTTCTGAAAGACACAGAAATTACCTTGTAACTGTTCTTTTCCTTCAGTTATACCAACAAGAGAAAAAAACGAATAGCTAAACAAGTGCAAGGAACATTTTCATAGTAAGCTATTCAGCACAAAAGGTGAATTTTCCAATACTTGTACAATGAGAGATCATTCTAATATGATCTTTCAAGGAAGAAACATATATTCAAATAAGTCTTATTTCCTTCTGGTCAATATTATTTCCCTTACTCTATTCACTTCTACTTCCATTTGTACAAACTCTTGGAATTTTTTTTATCAAAGAAACAAAATATATTAAGCATAAAAGAAGAATCTAAACTGCCATGCTAGCTGTTTACTTTCAAAATATCAATTCTGAACCACTTTAATACTTTTGATGGTTGCATTGGCAGAACTCATGATAAAGGCAAATAGATGTTAAAAAAAAAAAAAAAAAAAGTGAAAAAAAGTACAAAGATGGCACAATACACACTTCTTGTAAAAATAAGAATAACAGATTATGTTAAATAATATCTAAACATTATAAAACTTGTATATCTTTAATTACAGAAAAAACACAAAACTAAAGCCTTATCTAACTTTGGAATCAGACTGAAGTCTGCGATTGTCTCCCTTTTGGATAGGTCTTGAGAACTGGAAAACTTGGCAAACCAGACTTAACATGGCCTTTACTTAGATCCTTGGAATATTTGGTTGGTAATGAGAATCTGTATGATCATCTTTGAAGTTTGTTTAATATGATCACGTAGTTAGAGCATCATTATCTTGAAGCTAACCTAGATGTATTTAACAAGGGCCAGGCCTGAGTTTGACCTTTATTTTTAGCTGGTACTTATTTACAATACAAATGCACAGAGATAAAAAATGACTAATGTAATGGTCATAAAAATGCAGAAGACAATAATTACTTGGCATTAAAAATAATCTGTGCAAAATCAAGATATGCCAGCATCAAAATTTCACTCTCTGGTCCAGAGTTAGAAGTCCAGTGAGCTATTTAATCTATACTCTTTACAGAAGTCAAGTGCAGAGCTATGGTGTGAATATTACAAAAAACTTTTTTTTTATCAATAATTATGTATATATTAGCAAGTTGAATCTTTGTATATAAAGTTTCTTGAATCATTATCATGATTATAATAAAGGATACTAACAACGAATCTGGAACAAGACTTGAGTCAGGAATTATCACCATTCTTACTATTAAGCCCACAATCAGAGGAACAAGGGAGCCAGACCTAAGCTATATTCACTCAAATCTTGCTAATTTTTGTAGAAAATGAGGATCTACAGTCTTTCATATTTGTTAGATGATACCATAAAAATGCTTTAAAGCCAGCTTTCACACACCTATACATGCACATATTAAAGTATGCTAACTTGTGTGCCAAAATACACACTAAGTGTGGGAACCAATTTCCAGATATTATTTTCCTTGTAAGTGAAACAACTAATTCCCAAAAATCACTATCTTTGTCTTTGATTCTACTACAAGACTCAGTCAGGTAGGAACAAGCATATTATTTAGGGAACAAGGGTATCATTATCAATAACAGTTATTCTTCTCAGTGTAGATACACTAAAGTAGGGGAAATTAAAGATGATATTCTTGTAGAGGACAAAAAATTGCAACTGTCAGAACAAGACATAATCACCAGACACGAATGATAACACCACAAATAAATAAAAACAATCGCGGAAATTCACGCTCCCAGCCCAAGTCCACTTGGCTCTCCCAAGTTTCAGCTCTATCTTACCATACATACAGAGTTAAGACAATGTTGCCTGAAGGGCACGCCCAATCATGGCCACAGATTGTTGAATAAATTTGTGATGTGGAATTGGGGACTTAGTATCTGGTGAGTGCATTTGTACTATAAAAAATTACTTATAGCATTAGAATATTTTAACTTCCCCAAAACTTTCAGAAA